TGTATGTCTTCCTGAGAGCAGGCAGACTGCCTTATCCTTATCTGGTAGAATGGCGCAGGATTGGACAGGTTTTGTTCTGTGATTCTTGAAGTTGTTCAGAATTGGAGCTGACTTACTGGCTCCTAACACCAACCATATTTACTTCCTTAATTCTCACAGATTAATGTGTCACAACTGTAACTTTTCCAATTATTATATGAATCTTGTAGATCCTTCAATAAAGGTTTATGGTAATAGCATTGCATTACTTTTTACACTTCTAGGTGTAACATTTTTGGCTCCTGATTGCTTTCATTGCACTTCATTGCCTTCTGGTATGTAATGTGCTGTCACAGACTGATGCTGCTTTGATTTACTTGTGAGTAACTTGGACTTATTAATTTTGTTGTTGTTGAGGCTGGGAGACTGGATGCAGAAGGATCTGGTTTTTTCACTTTTCTATACTGTTCTATCACTCTTGGGTTGATGTTTGTTTTTTTGTTTTGGGTTTTGTTGGTTTGTTTTGTTTTGTTTTAGATAGACAGTGAGTTCTTTCAGTATATAAGCTTAAGTCTCGTTTTCTTTTTTCTTCCTTACTCCCCCCAACTTGGTTTTTTTAATGATACTGTAACAAAAATTTACAGAAAACTTGGATTTCCATTCATTCGTTGTTGCACAGTTTCCTCCCTCCCCCTACCCTCCAGTCCACTTTGTTATGCACCTTATTCTGGACTATTGTCACGTAAATAATACCTAGTCACATATTTCTTTTACATAGTTCTTTCCTTAATCTATTTCAATGCAGTATTCATCATTTATTCTCTCTTTTCTTAGTTTCCCCCCAACCCCCATGTCAGTCCTGTTTAATAACCGTGGCATTATGTAATATTTGTCCTTTTGTGACTGATATATTTCACTCAGCATAATGTCCTCCAGAGTCACCCATTTTGTATAGTATTTTAAGAATTCCTTGTTTTTCAGTGCTGCCTTGTATTCCATTACTTCTCTATCCATTCCACAGCTTCTCTATCCTTTCATTTGTTGATGGCACTTGGGTTGCTTCCTTCTCTTTGCTATAGTGAACAACACAGCAGTAAACATGGGTGTGCATATATCTGCTTGGGTGGTAGTTCTGATTTCTTGAGGATATATTCCTAGTAGTGCAATTGCTGGGTCAAATGGTATTTCTATTACCAACTTTTTGAGAAAGCTCCATACTGCCTTCCAGAGTGGTTGTACCATTTTGCACTCCCACCAATAGTAAATGAGGGTTCCAATTCCTCCACAGCCTCCCCAGCATTTCTTGTTTGCTGCTGTGTTGAACTTTGCTGTTTTACTGGGGTGAAATGATTATCTCATAGTTGTTTTGTTAAGTCTTATTTTCAAGAACATTTTCTGAACTCTGGACTTAGCATTTGTTCTTTGCCAGTGCTTCAGTTCCCATCCTCGGAAACTGCTGTTGGTATTAGTCTTCTTTATTACATTGATTATCATTTTCTTTCAAATCCTCCAACTTTTGATTGGTTTTGGTGTTTTAATTTCTCCGTTTCCCTCACTGTATTCCCTGTAGTGTCTTTTCTTGTAGTTCTTGTAGTTTAGTTCCCTTTCTGAAAAATGTTCCTATATTTTAAATTGTTTCCTGAGCCCTACAGATTGTTTTCACTGTTGATATGCTGTTGGTACTTTCTTTTGTTAGCTTCAATAATTATGATTTATGCTCATTCTACGTAACTTTTATTATTCTCTTTTATTTTTTTTACTCATTTTGAAATAGCAGTGTGCATTTTACACCTACTTTGTTGCTGTATTTTTATTGGATGCTTTCCTTCTGTCTAGCTCTCTACTGACTCTTTCGTCAGAATAGCTTTGTATGGAATTCAGTCACCATTGTTTATTGATGTGTTCCATATGGTTTGTCCTGCTTTTTCAGGTGGTTGTCTCTTGTGATTATGGGGGTAAACTAGTATCGTTGTCTCACTTCATCACTCAGTTGACTGCTTCTCTTGGTGAACTTACAAAGTAATGCATTGTGCAGCTTGTGTCATCCTCAGAATTGACTGTTCACATCCATTGTTGCAGCTGTTCTGTCTGTCTGTCTCACCTCACCACTGCATTGTCTTGCTGTCCTTCCTCTTCTGGCAATTGATCCCTTTGATGATGTAAGACAAACAAGTCAGCAGTATTTATTTTTGACCTGTGGAGTTTTCAGTTTGTAAAGTGTTGTACTGCTAAACAAAATTATGATTTACAGCCTTAGAAAACTGATAAAGGCTCACCATGCGTCAGAACTGAATCATTAACAGTGAGTTGGAGTTTGAATTTTCAGAAATAGTTTAGTCTGGAAGTTTTGTGGACTGTAGTTTGTCCACCTTTGTGTCCTGCTGGTATTTGAAATACCAGTGGCATAGCTTCTAGCATCACAGCAGTGCAGCAGTCTAGTCACCACAATTAAGCATGTTGACTGACAGTTGGTGGTTCATAACTTTGGATTCTTTGCCCTTTTGTGACCACAAGATAGGAGAGCATACTGTGTTTTTGTAGTCATATCTTCATTCTCTTTTGAGATCTCTCTCCCATTCTCCATTCCGACTCATCTAAATCTTCATTCTTTCTGTTCCATAGGGGGCTTCACTTCTTGCAGCAGCATATTAGTGCAGTGCTATTCTGAAATGATGCCCCTGACTGCTGAGCTATCACCTGCCCACTTGGCTCCTTCCCAAGGCCCCCAGGGCTCCATCTGCTGTTCCAAACTCTACAGTCTACATTTTTCTCTTGAGAGGAACTTGTCCAGTTGTGATTACTTATAAAGCTTTGTGATCCTGGCTATTACAAGTCCACATAGGCCTTGATGATGTTGGAGCATGGGTATTCCCTGCTTACTTTCTAGCCTTTGTGAGGGAACTTTGTGACCTAAATTTGTGGTTTGGGTGACCAAAGCTTATCTTTTTTTTTTTTGCTGTTAAAACTTCTTTATTTATCTCATGTTACTTTAATGCTCAGTTTAGCTTCAGACTTAATAAACCCACTAAAAACAAAACCACAGTGAAACAAAGTGATTCCTTCAATATCTAACTCATATTAATGCAAGAATTTGGGAACAGCTAATTACTAATTCTTTTGCATTTTAAAATGCATGCATAAATACAGTATTGACAAATTTATTATTTAGAAATTTTTTCATTTTCACCTTGACTTTTCATATTTTTTGTTTTGTTTCTTTTTAAAATTTTTTATTGGTTTACATATAATCATTAATATCTGATCACTTAATATTTGATAATAATACATAGAAAAGTAGCATTCTAATTAAATCACAATTTCTGATTATCTGGAGATTATATACTTTTTCTATTTTTTTTTACTTTTTTAAAAATTAATTTTAATGAACATTTACAGAGATTTTAGATTAACATTCATTCATTGTCGCACTTTTCTCCCTGCCCACCCCTCCCCCTCCAGTTCGATCTTCTTTTTGAAAAGAAAAAAGAAAAATTCCCTCATTGGTATACATCTCCCCCCCACCCCGAGTACATTTCACTATGCAACCTTCATTCTGGATTCCTATGATAACGATAATACCCTATCATACATTGCTTTATTTTTTTTCTTTTCTTATTTATTTTTTTTTTTT